ACAAAATGTGCTCTCTTTTTTTTCAGAGTATTTTAGTTCTGGCATGCAAACTTGATTGTAGGGTCTTTATCTGACATTAGATGTGTTGTGAGTAATGATAGTTTTAATGAGTAATTTTTGCCAGTTTTCAAATGACATCTGTATTCTGCCCTGTTTATATAAAATCTCAGCTGTTCAAGGTACACTCTTGCTGACCTCTTGAGCTTTTAATGTGCATTTGTGTAGGCTGAATGTTCTTTGGGTAAGCTGAAGATTGATACATCCCAGGCCTTGACAGCTGCAGTGTTTTTCTGTGCCAACTTCAAACAGTCTAAGCAGTCTTTTTTGCATAGAAATTGTTTGGCTCCCAGGGCCATTCAGGGAAATGCTTTACCAAGTCCATGAATTCTGCCAAGAGTTTAAAAAGACTGTTTAAACTTATTTTTATCTTAAAACAGTAATAATTTCTAACTAATACTCATTCCATTATATAAAATGCTTAATTAATCATATTACTTAAATGAAACACCTGTTAAAATGTTTAGCATGTTAAAGAAAAGAAAGTCATATATGGTAACTCAACATTACTTGACTAATTTCTTAGTAATATTTTGTTGTCATCATGAAAAATTCTGTGCATTTCTGTGTAAACTTTCTTTTTGTGAAGTAGAGTTCTCTTATTTTTAACTACAGATGAAGTGGTGGTTTGTTTTTATTGTAATTTTTTTTTTCTTTACTGGTAACATGTATTTGAAAATTGGCTTGTGTCCTTATTCTTTTGGTGGAAATCCACTTAGACAGGACTTTGCGTAAGTTTGGGTGTGTTTGAGAAGTTCAAGTAGRTTCAGAGTACATATCAAAGGCATATGATGACTTAATATAGAATATTTAAATATTAATATATAATTGATTTAATTGCAGCATTTCTTTAGAGTTCTGTGTGTGCTCATTCATAATTTGCTGTAGTAATTTTAAATACCAGTTTGTCATCACCAAAAATAAACTACATATATCATTGTAAACTACAATATCATTGTTTTGCAGTTTTGGAAATCCCTTGACTTTTCACTTATTTCCATAGGATTTGTGAAGGCTTTAGTTTGTTTTTTTGTGCTGGTGGTTGTTGTTATTTATTTGTTATTTAATGGACAACTCTTAGCCTGTTCTGTGTAGCTGTTTCCTTGAATCAGCGTACATTAAATATTCTTTATTACAAGGAAGATTTTTATTTTACAGTTAGGATGAGTTTTTTAATGTTTCATCTACTGTTCTTTCAGCACATACAGAAGTGCTAAACTTAGTTATGTAAGGAATGGCAATTTCACCAACATAAGTACAATTTATGGCTGATTTTACTCTTCTTTAGACAACTTTTAAATTGGTCTGTTTTATAAAATTACAGGTACTGAGAGGTTAAATTAAACTGCTTATTCTGTTTAAAAGAAGTAAGTTTGTACCTGCATATTTGTGTTCTCATTAGGAATGTTTGTTGAAACTTCTTATTTAATATTATCAAAGGGAGATTTTTGCAGTTTAGATAGAAACTCAGTTTCCAGAGGCTCAATACATGCTGGATACTCAGCAAAAATTATGGAAGGGATGTGAAGACCTCCTTTTTATCGTACATATATAGTTCATATTTGTTCATTAGGAACAATTCAATACATATTACTGTAGTTTCCTTGGTGGGTTTTTTT